CCCCTGCCATTCTTCTGCCTTCATCACTGGTGGAGTGGCACTGGAGACGAGGCTTGTGTGGTGCTTAAAATATCAAACTACAAGCCCAAGATTGGGGAACTCAGCAAGGGAAAGCTTAGGCCAAGGATCACACTAAACGATAAGCTCTGCATCTTTATTTATTAATGAAGCTGCTAAAATGTAAGTAGAACTGTTATTGACTTTTAAAAGTATCAATGGCACACAGACCTGTAAATAGAAGTTAAATCTCGGCACGTCACTTCTGAAAGGTTGCTAACCCCTGCATTAGTACTTGCTATAGCAAAGCTTTTATGGTTGAGGGGGTGGAGGGAGAGTATTTAAGCACCGGTGTATGACAAAAGCTTTGTTGCACATAGACACATAGTCACAGGGCACTAAACCCAGGATCTTAGATTTATTTTCACTAGAGGACACCAAGCCTGGGTGAATTCTTAGGACATACAACTGACAATATGAATGATGATTTAAACAGATGAAGAATATTTGTTTTCTTTTTAAAGAGCTAATGTCTCAATTTGCTTCTGCATTTAGAAAAAGTTATAAAATGTGTCATTAGTACCCTCACCAGTAACTTATGCAGTCTAGGGTACTATAAATGTAAATGTTAGTGGAAAGTAAGAAGGCTAGATCCATCCATCTCATTCTCTGGTTCTGAGCACCCTTTTTGTGGTTTCTGGAAGATTCCCACTCATCCTCCTTCATATCTTTACATCTTTAGAATGGTTGTTAAATTGATCTCCCAGTTGCAAATGAGCCATATTTTTTCACGGTTGCTTGTTGGAAGAAGACAAACAACTAGATTTTTAGATACTTACATGCCAGAGATCAGTCTCCTGGCATTTAATTTAGTGGATCTAATGAAAATGTGCTAAATTGAACACTGAGGGTGCCCCCCGGTCAGCGCCAGTACTCCTTGCAGAGTAAGGAAAGCCGGTGGGACTGTTTGCTAATGTCAACCTCCTGCTGTGAAAATGGCGCCAAGCTTGGATTAAGGTATGTCAACTCCAGCTATATTCTTTACATACCTGGAATTGTGTGTCTTAAACCGACCTTCCAGATTTAGTATACACCTAGCCAAAGAAAGAAATTTACCTTAAATGTCATAAGGAAGTGTACTGCTTTCAGGCCGTGGGTAGCCACGCTGCCTTCCTACAGCCGCTGTCGACTCGTTCGCCAGCCCACAAACCAGTCTCGGAGCCCTCTTGCACAGTTAGGGCGGGGCGACAAGCATGCAGGCAAGCAGTTTCATTCTCTCCCCTAAGTCTCAGCCCAGGCAAGGCTGAGAAAGAGACAAACAGTCACAATTTATAAAGCCAGGCCTTGGGATCAGGGCGGGCAAACAAATACGGCCACAGTTTATAAAGCCAGGCATGACAGCAGGTGGAGCTGGCGGACTTCCTTGCAGGCAGAGGGCCGATGAGCACAGGTGGTTTGCTCCTTCAGGGGGGAACCTGCCACCCATAATACAGTTTGGCAGGGGGACGCAGGCCCACCCACTCCACTGCATTTCAGCGCAGGGCTCTAGCAGTGGCAGTGCCGGCTGCCCCTGAGTTGGTGGGGATCCTGGCTGCAACAGGCTGCTCCGATCAGTGGGTTAGTGGGAATCCGGGTCGCAACACGCTGCGCAGCTGAACTCCATGTCCTCAGCTGGAACTGGGCTGACTCCTCCGGGCTACTTCCCGGTTCCCCCTGAGATCCCACCTGGCTCCATGCTGAGTCTGCCAGCTCTGCGGGGGGTCAAAAGAGCTATCAGGGTGTCCATAGATTCTGGGGGTGGCTCAAGCAGAGGTCCGGGGGACCTGCCCAGTTTTCCAGGCCAGCCTATGCCCTAGGAGTCTGGGATAGGCCTCAGGACTTAGCAGAGGTTTCTGCAGCCTCCAGTTGTCACCAGGCTCCAGCAGTGGTTGTGGCAGCCTGGAACAGTCCTTGGGGCACAGCAGTGGTCCCAGTGGCCCAACCCAATTGTACCACTGAAGGCGGCAGGATGAGGCCCTTCATCGCCTCTGGAGCTTCGGCTGAGCCTTCTCTCTGCTCAGATGCTGGGCTCCAACTGAGCTGAGAACTGCCCCTCTTATACTTCTGGTCCCGCCCTTCTGAGATACTTTTTTGGTTCCATCAATTTGTTTTTTCACTTCTCCAGGTGGGTGTTTCAGTTTTAGGAAACAAGTACCCATACATGAACTACTCCAAGACAGACCCAAAAGAGAAAATAAAGAGAATTCCACTTGTCATCACCCACAGTCCACAACTCAAACCTCTCCAACGCATTATCCGCAGTCTACAACCTATCTTGGAAAATGATCCCTCACTGTCGGAGGCCTTGGAGGAAAGGCCTATTCTCGCTTACAGACAACCCCCACAACCTGAAATGTATTACTTCCAACAGTCGTGCTACACAGCTACATCATAAACATCCAGGAAACCGTCCCTTCAATCAGCCGTGGTGCCAACTCTACCCACATATCTATACAAGGAAACTCATTACTGGAGCCAACTACATAAGCCACCAAATCAGAGGCTCATTCAAATGTACATCCAGTAATTTAATCTATGCAAGCAATGCCCCACTGCAATATATATTGGACAAACTGGACAGTCCCTACGTGAAAGAATTAATGGACACAAATCAGATATCCGTAAAGGAAACATGCAAAAGCCTGTGGGGCACACTTCAGTCTCCCTGGGCATGCATTAACAGATCTTCAAGTGGCTGTTTTGTTACAAACCAATTACAGGAGCCAAATACACAGAGAAGGACTGGAGCTTCAGCTCATTCGCAAGTTCAATTCTCACACCTCTGGATTAAACAAAGATATTGGATGGTTAGGACATTACCTACCTATCAAACAATGGGGGAGAGAATGGTTCTTTGTCTTTGAAGAATCTCATGATGCCATCTAGATGTTTCATCAGTCTTTAAGTGTTTCCTGGCTCTGTTATTTGCTAATTAATGGTTCTTATCTGCCTCCTTTGACTATCTAGTCTTAGGTGTTTATAGACTCGGCTTTCCCTTGATACATTATTTTATCCACTGCCTTTTCTTGTCCCCCCCCCAATTTTCCATTCTTCCACCACCACTCCGTGTCTCCTATTTATTTTGATCCTAGACATCCAACACTCAGTCATCTGAAGAAGTGGGCTGTGCCCACAAAAGCTCATGATACCATCTACACGTTTTGATAGTCTATAAAGTGCTACCAGATTTTATTGTTTTTTTCAGTTCTTCAGTTACCCATGCATTGTTTTAATGTTATGCTGTGTTTTAAAAACATGGAGGAGAAAGCATAAGTTTTGCAAGTAACTTTATTTGTGCCTTATTATTCTTTACACCGTTTCTTTTAATTATTTGTATTGATTTTTCTATAGTACAGAAGATTAAACAAACCATAACTCTCAGATTTGAAATCTATATCAGTGATTCAGACAGTGAAGCATATCTGCACATTATTATTATAAAAATAATAGCGAGGGGGAGGAATGAACAAAACTGGTAAGATTTGAAAATATATACTAGATCAGTGTATATAACTTATGAGATACTTCATGTAGACAAGGTTACAGCTGTTCTACCCCTCCTTCCATGCAATACATCTTGGGCTCTTACCTACTGCTTTTGAAAAGATAAACTTCCTGTTGTCTACAAGTGATTCTGTTTCCCTAGTGCTTTTACTAGTAGCACTGTTCCCTCCAGGACAAGATCAGCTAGGCCATCAAACTGGTTAAAATATGAAGGTAACAACCACATTTCTAATGTACTTTTTAAACTGAGGATTGGAAAAAATAGAAATCTACATCAAGCCACCCTCTGCGCTGAAATAACAAAGTAACCTCCTTTTGTAAAGAACCACTTTCCAGGCTTAAGAATCACAAAGTGGTCAAGTGTAACACTTCAGATAAAAGTGATACATTGGCTAATGCAAGTATTTCTTTATGATGCTGTTTTTCCTACGTTTTTTCCTGCTTAGGTCCAGAGCATTATTCGCTCCCAAACGTGCATGGGCATGCGTCACAGAGACCGTTCTACTACAGGAAATACTTTAAAGACTGGCTTCAGCTCTGCCCTGACAACGTACTTTTTTGGATCTGATCTGAAAGGAAAGCTAACAATCTCAAACTTCTTAGAATTCCAGCGCAAACTTCAGCATGATGTTCTGAAGCTTGAGGTAAGAGTTTGTTGACTTGGAGGGGGCTAATTGAAATCAGTCATGGAGTGTACTACAGTGGTGCATTGAAATCACCGGAGGGCAGTCTTTATGAAGGTCGGGGTAGGTGTGGGCAAGGAGGGAGAGCTGGTACTAGAAATGTATTGTAGAAACTGTTGAGTCATAAGGATTATCATTCTGAATCCGATTAATGGTTCAATATCAATGCACCTTTATGGGATAACCTGCCCCAGTGGAGTTTGTCTAATCCCCAGTAGTTAGAGGGTTACTTGTACCCTGAAGCATGAAGGCTTACGTTCTTTCCAGTACTTAGATTTTTAAAAATTTGCTATTATAATGATGGATAGTCTTGTTTTATGTAAATCTTTCGTCCTTTTCTGCATCCTGCTAAACTCTTTGTTTCAGTTCCATGATTGTGCCAATGACTTTCTCAGGGTAACTTGCATTGTGTGAAAAGTTTTATCTTTGTGTTAATTTTGAATTTTCCACCACTTAATTTAATTGAATGTCTTATTTTTATATTATGAGAGAGCGTTAAGATGCTCCCAGTCTACACACGCTCATGTTCAGATGTATGAATTTAAGCACCTATTGATTTTTAAAAGTAGCTGTACTCAGAAAAGCAAGTATAAAAATAGCATTATGGAATTTTCACTTTTCATTTTCTCTCAATTTTCAAATAAAATCTCATCACTTTAAAGGTAAAACCTTTTTTTCTGACTAACAGTCCTGCATGCTCGTTCTGGGTGACAAACTAGAGCCGTGGTCACCAACCCGTTGATCGCGATCGACTGGTCGATCGCGAGGCCTCGGCCAGTCGATCACGAGGTGTTCGGGCAACCCGGCCCCCTATTTTCCCCCCACCCCCGAGAAGCCCCACTACCTACCTCTAGTGTACTGCCGGCTTCCCGTGGGGTGGACGGAAGTCCTCTCTGAAGCCTGCATCACTTCCGGGGGTTCCGGAAGTGCGTGGGCTGCTCCCCCTCCCACAGCTCTGTTGCGTGCTGCAGGGCTTCCCTTCGCCGCCGGTGCCGGAGGGGTGAGTTGGGCGCAGGGGTTTCCCTGTGCCATGGGAGCGGGAGTCAGCCCTGGGGTTTGGCCGCGCTGCAGGAGGAAAGGGAGTTGGCCGGGCCGCGCCGTGGGGGGGGGGTTTAACCTCGGAGCAGGCGCCAACGGTGGTTGGCCGTGCTGCAGGAGGGGGTTGGCTGCGCTGTGCCACGGGAAGGGGGTTTGGCCCCGCTGCAGGAGGGGTGGGGGTTGTCCCTGAGGCAGGCTCCCGAGGGGGTTTTGCCCCACCGTGAGAGGCGGGGGTTAGCCTTGCGGCAGGCACGCTCGGTGTTCCCCTGCGCCGCGGGGGGCCCGGAGGAGGCATGTGCTGGCTTCCTGCGGGGAGAGGAGGCAGATGCGGGTGACTCTGCTGCCACTGGCACCCTGTCCCCGCTCCCCAGACTCCACTCCCCTGTCCCCAGCTACAGAACTCTGTCCCCACTCCCTGAACTCTGTCCCCACTGGCACCCTGACCCCTGCTGCAGAACCCTGTCCTCTGCCCTCCCAGCACCCTGTTCCCTCTCCCCTGCCCCCAACCGCAGAACTCTGTCCCCAAAAAATGTATAATTATAAATGCTTCATTTTAGATTTAAATAGCATGAATAAAAAACAGACCATTTATTTCATAACTATAAACACGTGATTTTAATTTTATATATCGCATAATTTAAAAATAAACTGTTTATCAGAGTGTGTAAGTAAGGGCTGGGGATAGTAAGTGATGGACAGGAGGAGAATAGAGAGCTTCAAGAAAGGAGCAGGACTTCAAGGAAGGGGCGGGGCGGTAGATCTTCGCCTGTTCTGAGATTTAAAAAGTGATCTTCGGTGTAAAAAGGTTGGAGACCACTGAACTAGAGTGTCTTTTTTTTCCCAGCAGGTTGATTGAGTTAAGAATGTGCCATTGTTTTATGCTGGCATTTTTCAGACTACAACTGACTCAATAGTCTGTAAATTGGCAATGAGAAAAATAAACATTAAGATTTTGGAAAAATTAAACCAGTTCCACAGTAATGAGGGGAAAAATAAAATAGAGTTCTTCCATGCACAATGATAGAGCCACAGCTCCATACTCCCTGAGTTTTCCCAACACCAGTATTGCCCCCTCAGAGCCATGCAAAAAATGTCCCTGAAATATCTTCTTTGCACTTTACTGTAACCAGTGGTCTCACTTGCTCCTTCTTCCCTTGTGCCTCAGGTTCAAGCTTGTCACTGTTCTCAGAGCCTTATATCACTCCACTCCACTCCATCTCAAATACCTGTCTTTGTTTCTTTCATATCATTCTCCCCATTTCTTCCTCTGCTCCACCAGTGATGTTAGCCTTGACTATTCTTTGATCAGCTACTTGAATAAATGTATCAGTGACTTAGTTCACATTATTTCCTATGTGATGAGCGTTCTTCGGAGTTCTTTCATCATTTTATTCACAGTCATGTATTTCCTAAAGACCCATTTCTGTAGTGAAGCTGGTGAAGTATCTACATGATTTTTAAATATTAGTTTGAAAAGTAATTATGAGTAACTTGTTATTTAAAATAGTAGTTATATCTTAACCTTGTGTTGCCAAAGCCCTGCATATCACTACCTTGATCACTCACATAATTTTTGAATTCCTTCTCCATGTGTTGACTTTTTGTCTTTAGGTAGTAAGCTATTTTGGGCAGGGCATGTTCCTTCTTACTCTGTTTACAAAATATCTAGTACATGTCAGAAACTAGTTTCCTATGGGTTGCTCTCTGAAGTGGGCCTAATTATCCATGGCTGCTGTCTGCTTTAAAAAAAGAGATGTGGGAAGGAGAAAGAGAAATCTCTGTTATTATTTAAACTGCTTAAAAATATCTCCAAACGCCTGTTAGGGATGGTCTAAATCAGTGATTTTTAACCTTACTTCAGCCTGCACCCCTTTGTTTCTCAAAATATGTTCTCGCACCCCTTATTAAGATCGTTGAAGTAGGTCAGTTTTAAACCTAAGATATATCATAAAAATCTGGCATGTCTCGCACCCCCAGAAAGGGCATCTCGCACCCCTAGAAGGTGCGTGCACCCCAGGTTGAGAACCAATGATCTAAATAATACTTAGTCCTGCCTTGAGGGCAGGGGAGTAGGCTATGACCTGTTGAGGTTCCTTTCAGACCTTCTGAAATATTAATAATAAAAATGTTTGATTCCTTTTTTGTAAGTATATTTCTTATAGAAACACACAGTAATGTAACACAAGTTGCTAGGATCTTACCAATCTCCCTCTCCTGCTATCGCATTGTCCTCTCCTCAGTGGCATCTATTCTCTTTCTGGGTCTTAGTTTTTCTTTATAAAGTATGATGTGAAATTGCCTCTTTCAAATGAATGGAACAATATCATCCATGTGGTATTATACAGACAAAATACTGCATATCCCAACAGGAAATAGTACCTGGTTATGCTACTGTTCAAGAGTAAACAGGGACCGCTCAGCTTGCTTATTCAAAGGAGAAACATTTCTTACATCAGTACTTGTCTCATACCAAGGGTATGTTCTACACTACATGCCTCTGCTGACTGAGGCATGTAAATTAGACATACTGACATAGTCAATGAAGCGGGGATTTAAATATCCCCTGCTTCATTAGAATAAAAATGGCCAGTGCATTGTGCCAGCTCAACTGTTTGTCGGCACAAAGCAGCAGTCAAGACGGGGATCGGTCGGCAATGAAAGCCTTTGCCGAGTGATCCTGTAAACCTCATTG